TCTCTCTCTCACTCACTCACTCACTCACTCACTCACTCACTCACTCACTCACTCACTCACTCACTCTCACAGCACACGCACATGCATACATACCACTCTCCTTCTCTCCATCATTCGCTCCCTCCTTTTGAGCATCCCTTCTTCAACGATTCATTATTCCGTTTAAGGTGCAGTCGAACCACCGCTTGGGAAATTTTATTCCTGTGCACTGCATGTTGTCGATGTCTTTCCTTTCCTCTGGCTGTGCAAAATAATACACTTATTTAGATACTGCTAGAAATAGATTACTTTTTTACGAATTATCTGTGGACGAACTAGTGGCTGACTTGAATTGACGAATGCGTTGATAAATTGAATATTGGAAAATTTATGGAGGGAAAATAGTTAGCGGGAAAAGTGAATGGAGAAGATAGTTAATGCGTTTTGAATCTATAGAACAATTTGAAATTTTCATACAGATATTAATGTGGTCCACTATCTGTTCTATTATTTCTACTTTACTATTTACTGTTCGCTGTATAGGGTAGATCTTATCAATTTGAAAGTCAGCGTATAAATCAAGATATAATCGATGGATAAACAAAGATTACCGTATGTTCGTACAAAACAGTGTAACTCTTTGTGTATACGTTCAAATAACTGGTCCTATTGATTGCACGCAGAAATACCTGTTCGAATGGCAATCGTCCTCTCGTCCGACCATTGAATTATTTAAGGGAACGGCCGCTTAATGATGCTCGTGTTGCTGTATTCTTTTCTGCTGCTCGGCTCCCTGCCTGTTATTCACTATAATGCTTCGGCTAATGAAACGTGTTTATACCCTGCAACCACTTTTCGGTTTTTATCTTTACCTTTATATTATTTTACTTTCTCTGCGTTTATTACCGTTTTTGAATTAATTGTTTATCAGTTGAACAATTTATATCACTTGCTCAAAGAAAATTTGTTGAGGTAATTTCATTTGTCGCTTGAGACTTAAAGTAGAGTGTATCTTCATAACTAATCTGGAAAATGAATCATCATTCTGAATCATCATCTTGAATCATCTTCAAATTACATTTCTATAATTCTTGATATGTGTTAACGTTCGTTTTCATGGTTTATTCTTCTATGTCTAGATTTAATAATAAGACATTGATAATTATTCAAACTTCTTGCAATCATTTCTTTTTAATTAACATGCGAACCGTAACATTTTTGGCGTATTTCGTTTATCGTATTGTAAATGGTAAAACATGACAAACAGCCAGAGACGAGGAAACAACGATTTAAGCAAAATTACGTGTGACTTATATGTTTTATTAAAAGTTATTTGTTTATTCCATTTAAACACACCAGAAAGGACATAATAATACGTGCGCGCTGATTATTGATCGATCTGCTTGCATTTATTTGTACACCGCAGTCTTCAAGTTTCGGAAAGTTGCACCCTATGCAACCTTTAACGTAGGTATACATATGGAACCCAGCAACAGGGTTGGTTGCGGGCTCTTCAACCCTCCGTGAATTTCTCGAACGAAACTCCTAGTCGAAACTAGTTTGAAAATAGTTTCGATCGCGCATCCATTTCTCTTCCTTCAATAAGAAGGAAGTAATAAATTCTGACCGTGCGTAAAGTGGTAGAGCAAGTATCAGAATCAAAACAGGACTTCTCA